CACGGCTCGCGAAACGAACCACTTTCTGACACCAATGTAAAATAAGACCAAATAACAACTTCGGAAAATTAATAAATAAAGAAAAATGTTTATTAAAGATTGACAGCAATTAATTAAAATCAAAGAATCCGTGCGATCAACTCAAATCTCAGTCAAAAACTGGGGATGAACAAACTCTCCCCTCGTTGCTATAAATAATCTAATCGTCAAGCAATCGTCGTTAACTAACAAACTGTCGTTAGTCTAATAGTCATTAGATGGTGACATACAAATATTTTACAATACATATATTCATCTATTATTATCATGTTTATTAGGTATAAATGTCAACAAGCAAGCTCAATTCCAAGTCTATGGACCGAAGCATGTAGTTTAAGATGAATAAACATGAACATTCAATTAAAGGTGTGCTGGCGTCATGGTCTAACCACCAGACTTTTGTATTACCGAGCAGGGTTTAATCCTGGTCTCGGCCGATTTTTTTTCTTTTTTTTTTTCAGTGAAATTAAATGTAATTATAATTTTGATAAGCCAAAATTGATTCTTTATAAGAATTTAAGTTTTTCTTCAATAATTCTTTTAATTAATGGACGCTGAGTAAGAAGACATTTAAACAGGGCCATAAACCCTTTTAAGTTATTTCAAGTATTATATTAATTGATGTTAAATGAGTAAGGTAAAAGGCCCAATTAGGAAACACTTCTGTACTATACAAGTGTAACAATACGTTTCCGGAATTATTATAAAGTATCAAAATGACTTTTTTTGTTGCCAAACTAAAGTTTAGATATTTTTTTACTGGAAAAAAATTTTTTCAAAAAAAATCTACCTAAATTATATTGATAATGAACCGAAAAAAGCAGTGATCTGAATGTACTTGATCAATGAAACACTTTTTCAACGATGTACCAATTTTCCATAGGTAATGTTCCAATTTATGGTACTATGAAAATACATGGTAACTAAATGACACACTTTTTATAATTTCAAGTTTTACTATGGAATAAATACTTATATCGATTTTTATTAAAAGAACAATTTTTTAAATTAATAATAATATGATTAATGATAATTTAATAATTCAATTTTTTAGTTTTATGATCACAGTAATGATAAACATACTGAGAAACGATTTGAAGTTATTCAAATATAATTTTATAACATTTATAATAGTCCAGTCATATTAGATTTTAAATCGGGAAATCTTGAGATAGATGAAATTTTAATAGAATATTTGTAGGGGATGTAGAATTAGTTTCCCCTAAAAAAAAGTGAGCTCCGATACCGGGCAAGGGTTGAAATCACCCTTTAAACGCTTTTTTATAAATTTCTTCATGTTTGTTCTCATTTTTTTCGAGAACTAAAACAGATATGAAAAAATATTTCGAACAAAAGTTGTAGCGGCTAGAATTTTACATAAAAAAGTCCGCATCTTCGCAACCTCACCTATAACAGGTAAAAAGTTATTGACCTCTAAAAGTTGGAAAAATTCAAAACAATGAAAATATTGAACACCCTTTGGGCACGATACTGCTGTGGAAGAAACAAAGTGATATGTCAGCGCTTGTCACACTTATTGCGAGTATTTTATTATATAAAAAATTATAATAATATTATAATATTATAATAAACGTGCCTAAACGAAACACAACGTAAACAAAACCCATAGGATAGACAAGGAGGTTTATGTTTATGTATTCAAAATATAGGAAAGGATAGCTGACGTCACAAGGTCAGCATTTGTAAGACTTTAAAGAAAACTAAGTGATCACCAGCATTGTATAGAGTAATCACCCTAAGTGACATAAAAAAAATTGCAAAATTAAATAGCATCAATCGATAAAGTTTTTAATGCTGAGTCGATTAATGATATTCATTTTTCGATTTTTTTTATCGATACATGGGGTAACTGGGGGTAAAATAAAAATAATAATAAAGAACTATTTGCAAGTTAGTTTTAATCGATTCTGTTTTTTAAGTAAAGTTGATTAAAGTTAACTTGAGCTCACTCTGCAAATAGTTTTTTATTATTATTATTAATTTTAGTATCACCATCTGAGTTTTTGAAATTTGGTATACTATTTATACTCATTTTATTGAACACATTGGCTTCTGGTACATTAATATTTTCAGTACTTAAACAATTATTAGTAGTATTACTTTTATAGTTTGATTCATCACTCTTTGGAGCTTCTTGTAAATAAAAATTGCTTTGTAAACTATCCAAGCTCTTAAGAATTCCCATTAGAATTTCAGTATCCGATTGATACAATGCTGAGAACAAGAGAAAGGTTATAGATTACTGAATGTTAAAGGAGCTCGAACACAATGAATAATGCAAAATCCTATGGAGGTTTAATTAATGATTAAAATACAACTTAGAAAGTTTTATTCTATAATAGGTTTAACTTCTCCAACATCCAATAGGATCCTATTGAGGTTTAATTGATAATTCAAATAATTTCTAAGTCGAATTATCTTATTTAATTACTTAGTTTCCTGTTCAAATATCTTCTATCATTTCCTATAGAAACTTTTCATTGCCTATTGACTTGCTAACTACCTAGTAAACACTGTTATATTGTAGTTATACAATATCCTTGACACAGTTTTTGTTACATATTTCATTACAGTTATGTACCATAGAAGTAACATAGATGTTACTATTTCCGCCTTAATTATATAACATTTTTTTATAACTTCGTTATATTACAGTAATATTATGGTTACTTAACATTTTTATCAACATTGATATTGTTTAAATTGAAAAAAAATTGTCAGCAATGTATTTTTATTGGATTTCATTGCTTTTGTTTACTATTCTATTACCTTTTAAGTGTAACTCTCCGGGGAAACCGAAAGGCTACAACCTTTTAGCCAGAGCTACAACTCTGTATTTTACAACGTGAGCTACAACTCTCGTTGGTCTCATCAGTCTAGCACCTCGGAGACAAGTGAAGTGACGATCTCCGCAAAATCCAGCTCTTTTATACTGTTTGGCTCCACCCATTTAGCTGGTCACGTGGGGGAGTTGCCATGGAGACTAAAATTATCACAAATACCTTCTCTTTCTATTATTTATACATTCCTATCTCGGTCTTTATTTATCTTATGTTCCTAAAGGTGAACCTACTCGGAAGATAACGATCTTTAATTTAATCGATAAACTAGTTCGATAGTTTATCGACCCGATTGCTAAGATATTTCCCTATTTTATCTACCTTCAGGGGCGTAACTTCGTTACAGTATAAATATATAGAAAAATGAGAATAATTATGTGAATTATAGTTCATTTTAGTTATTTTGTAATAATTATTCTATATAATGTCTTCTTTTTATTTTTAATTGAGATTTAGTCATTTTTGAGATTACAAAACATTTTGTAAATGTCTTAGATTAAACAAATTAATAAAAAAATCCTCATTTTCTGAGTATTAAGTACACATAGCCAATAATAAAGTGAACGAGAAATTCTCTGACAATTAAAGTACACAAATAGTTCTTGAACTGTAAAATATCCTTATAGCTTAGAAACAATTACCCTGATCTGCTATCAATCTCAGTTTACCTACACATTGAAAAGAAAAGCAACTATAACCAGAATTTTGTAATGTTACATCTGTAGAATATGCCGTCAATACAAAGAACGTATGTAACATCGATGTGGCGATGTTACATTGCAAAAACATTGCGCGTATGCAACAAATGTTACCTAAAATTAGTAAAAATATGTTATGTAACATTTAAATAATAGTTGCATAATAAATGTAATGTAACATAGAGATTACAGTGTTATATCATAGAAGCATAACATTAAATAACAAAGATATATACTACAGTGTTATATAACATGGATACAACATGCATGTAACGCTAATTATATTGCCATTAGATAACTACATTATACAGCTATAACATCACATGGGTGTGACATCTGCAATGTGAACTTGTTACTTTAACAATATATTACAGTTACATAACATATATGTAACTTTTCGTTATATAACTTGTTACATATTGTTACCTTTGTGTTATATTGCTGTTATATTCAGTGTTTACTGGGTACCTTTTAGAATCATCATAATTCTATTCAGTTATGTGAATTGGAAAGTTATGAATCCTAAAAGATTTGACAATCACCATTTTTATACTTATTCAGATTTGCATAATTCTATTGGTCTTTCTGCGAGTGGCAGAAATTTCTCACTTTTTCCTATTCAAATCCTGAAAAGGGCTATAGGATTTATTCTTTTTTAATAAGAATATGTAAGCAGGGTACTTACGATTGTAAATAAATGATAATAAATTCGAATTTATTACTATCCTTTTAATACCATAACAAAGAAATACGTATCTAGATTAAGCTAATTCAAACTATGATCTTACAATTCAAAAATTTTCGATTAATCTATTGTTATGTAATGTAATGATGCATTTTACGCGAACGAAGTCACGGGAATCAGCAGCTAGTTATTCATAAACGACAATAGATCTCTCTCACCCTGTCAACATCGCTTAAACGGAAAATTCCTTAAGCTCTTAAATTGCTATTGAGATTATTTTCCAGTTTATATTTGACAACAGGGTATTTTTTTTGATCTCGCTTCATTCCATAGATTGTTGTTGCGCGAATATTTTACTGTCGATATTTTCTTATTTAATTTATTTATTTGCCTAAAATTAGTGTGCAAAAGTTCATATACTTTAATATATTTATATTTTTCCGCTTGAGGCGTCTTAATCAGTGAAAAATACAAAAAATTGCCCCAGGTGAGGATCGAACTCACGACCTTAAGATTATGAGACTTACGCGCTGCCATCTGCGCTACTGAGGCTCTATACAATGCTTTCTTAAAAAAGTACATAAATGATAGTTTGTTATTGAACAGCCTATCATTAGTACAATATTTTTTTTAAGGAAATAAGTTTCCTAAATAAATCGATTACGAGAATAGTAATAATTAAAGGTCACTTAGAAATATAGTTGTTATTGATTTACTTGCCATCAAAAGAAAAATATTGGCATGAGTTTCTCTACAACAACACCAGATGGTGTTCTTTCAGAGTTAAAAATAGATAAAGTTTTATTTATTTCAAGTTTCGTTTATTGCAAAAATAATGACAGATGTAAAAAAGTTGCAAGAAGCTATTGAACAATATGAAACACAGGTATGAATAATACTAATTTATTTATAAAGTGAATGAAAAGTCTTTACGAAAAGTGTAAAGAAAAATTTTTCTTTGGAAAAATTTTGAAGGTTAAAATTGTGGAGTTCTAATTGTTTTATTTTACATATCAATAAAAAATCTAATGTTTTATAGCTTTCTCAAGTCCAATTAGCATTATCTTCAGCTGTTGAAGGACACAACAGGGATAATTTATTGAGCCTCCAATCGGATATCCAAGAGCTTATTGCATTGACTAAAGAAAGTTTAAAAAGTGCTGAGGAAGGAAAAGAATCTAGTGACAATGAAGATGATGGTCTTTCTGACGATGGTCAAATTGAAGACGATGATGATCCTTTAACTAAACAATGTGCTATGTTTAAGGTAATTGGGATATTTATATTTCTACACATTATTTAAATAAATAAAATATTTCTTAGTTGAAGTTCATAAATGATGATAAGATTCATTTATTTGAATTGATTATTTAATATCTTTTTTTTATTATCAAGCGCAAGAAATGCAAAAAGTTAGCTTACTGAGAACTTTTTATTCGTAACATGATTACGTGAAAAATATAGAATTTTAATCATGTGATTAATAAAAGTTTACAGTATTTATAGAAAATTTGATAATTATATAGTATTACTCCGTTACTTTTAATGATGCGGATTAAGAATATATAAACATGTTAGGCGCAGAAACCAAAAATGAATTCTATTAAAAGTTTGTTTGCTTTTATTTTAGATTAATTTTTTCATCAATGGTATAAATTATAAACATTCCCGCCCTTTGCCCTACTAACCACTGTCTTTATTAAATGTATCCCATCAAAATTGATGATTTTTGAAATAATAAATTGAATTGTTTATGTTTAATATTTAACAACTCTATTTATTTTTGGTTTCTGCACTCTGTATATGTATATATTTTTGATCAGCATCATCAAAAATATTAAATACTAAATTTTCAAAGAAATCAAAAGTGACAAAGTAATACTGTATAATTACCGAAAATTTTTTACTACTAGGCAGAATTAGAAGATGATGAATCTCAGGATAATGACGAGAACGATAAACAAGAGGCTGCAAATAGTAATAATATAGAAGTTAGTAAGAAAATATCTGGTAATGCTTAGAGAGCGAAGAATCAATTTATATCGTACAAGTTAATATTGTAGGATGAGCTCAAAACACTTGAAGGAATGAAATGTCGAGCTCCTCATGGTAGCAGCTGGGGTGGCACTAGTTTTCACAATGCTATGGTCTCATCTGTCCTTACCAATAATGACAAGAATATTTCTAGTATTAATGATATTATGGTAATAAAAAAAAAATTTTTCTCATCATTTTAATAATATGAAACATATTTTTATAAGTTTCTTTTTCAGATTAGAGTATTCTTTATTAATCCAACTCATAAAGAAATGTTACCTTGTTCATACTTCTTAGATGGAGTATGTAAATTTTCTGATGACAAATGTCATTATTCACATGGAGAAATAGTTCCGTTTTCTGCTCTAGAAGAATACAAGTGAGTCATTTTGTCAACAATAACTTGACAGAAAATTAAAATTTTTTAATTTCAAAGTCATCGGAGATGCGTGAATTTATTCACATAATTACTAAATTATTAATTTTATTCAATATACAACTATAAAATAAGTTATAAATATCGTTTAATTATTCAACCATTTTTCAGAGAACCTGACTATTCTACAATTAAAATGGGTAGTAGAGTATTAGCTAAGGATACAAATAAAATATGGCATAGATCAGTGATTTTACAAGTTCCTGATAGTAATGAAGAATTTTACCGAGTAAAATTCGAAGCTAGTGGTAAAATCATGGAAGTATATCTTTATGACATTGTACCACTACAAGACAATGAGTTAGAAATGTCAGACTCATCTGATGACAGTAATAAATCAGATACTAATAATATGATTGACGAAACAAAAAAGAGAGATGTTATCCAAAAATCACTCCTTCATATGAATTCTTCTGAGCCTTTAGGGAATTGGGAGCGCCATACGCGTGGAATGGGAAGTAAATTGATGGCTCGAATGGGGTACGTAGTAGGTACAGGATTAGGAAAACGTTCAGATGGAAGAGTTATTCCAATTGAAGCAACTGTATTACCCGCTGGCAAGTCTTTGGATCATTGCATGGAACTTCGTTTGAATGCTGGAGGAGATGAAGATTTATATTCAGTTGAGAAGAGGATGAAAAAAGAAAGATTAAAATTAGAAAAAAAACAACAAAAACAATATGAGAGAGAAAAGAATCGAAACAGCACAGTTTTTAATTTTATTAACGATACTTTAGGTAATAAAAATCAAGGTTTGTATTAACTTATAACTTTAATTTCTCGAAAGAATATTAAAATCTCATTCTGTATTGATAATCTATAATTATATTCTTATTTAGGGATAGAGAATTTAAAACCTGGTAGTTCAAAAATGAAAACAAATTTAAAAGGAGAATCAACCCGAGACTTAAATGTAGCAAACTTTCGTGTCGGTGAAGATATATTAAGATTGGAGAGAGAATCTTTGAAATTAATGAATTCCTTAGGAAAATACAGTAAAGGAAGCCTTCCTTATAATAATATCATAATACAGTATAACGAAAAACAGAATGAATTACTACATTTACGGTCTAAACAAAAAAATATAATAACTGAACAAAGTCACAGAAAAGACAAAGCAAAATTATCTGTGTTTTGATGTGTAGACGTGATATTTATTGTATTTATAATTTCCACAATGCATTCACCTTGTATATATCGCTTGCGTGCACTTATTGAGTAATAATAAATAATAGAATAACGATATATTGAAAATCGTTTAATGAATATTATTTTATTCAAGTATTTTCTTTTGAGGTACTTCGTATGCTATATCGGCAGAGATGAAAATAACAAACTTATATATACACTCGGCGTCATTAAGATTCAAAAATGTTTTAGTGGGGATACTCTATTGTTGTAGGGACTATCTAAAAGAGTATTTAATCATGAACTTTCTAAATTAATTTACAGTCAAAGTTCGATGTAGTCAACCCAAAAAATCTTGTCACTTTCAATGTAGTCACCATTCTCCTCCAATGCTTTTTAACCCCACTCTCATTACAAATATATCTATCTCTGTCTATCAGATGTTCTTCTCTGACATTAACATGTGCAAAGAGTCAAATATAAATAGATAGTATGTGTAATGTATAACCTCCGAAATGTGATATATATTTGAATAAATTTTATTTTATAATAATTTAATTGTTTTTTGGTGTTCTTTATAGTTGTACTAAATTTGGCACCCGATACAGAGTGTTCGGTTACTTATAGCGAAGCCGGATATAATACGTAAAAAAAAAAATAATAATAAAAACGATTTGATACGGGAACTTATATTCAAAAATTGATAGTTTTTGCAGAAAAAATTATTGAAATTGGATAAATCGATTCACATTTCAATGAAACTTATTGCCATTGTGGGATCACACCATCTACAGCATCGGACATTATTGTACAGTACCGGACATAAATGCTGTTCAATTTTTTAAGAGTCATACAGTCGATTTCCCTATACCGTCCTATAGAAAATCACACAGCATTTATGTCCGATACTGTAGTGTGATTTCCTATAGGACGGTATAGGGAAATAGCATATACGCTTGCGCAGTAAACGTCGTAGAAGGGATAAAAAAACACTGGTGGAGAACCCAAAAGCATTAAAGCAACTGAGGAACTCTTTTCAGTTCGACTATATATTCATTTGTATTGTAAATTCAATATGGCAGCATCCAATAAAAAGTCAGTATTGTTTTTTGATTAATAGCTCGAATGTTTATCGAGAGTAATAAATTATATGTGATAGATTTTTTGTTAAAACTACTTTTAAAAATGTTTCATTCTAGATTGGAAAACTGTGAAGTATGCGCTGCAAATAAAGCTAAATACACTTGTCCAAAATGTGAGGTTAGAACATGTTGTCTATCGTGCGTAAACATTCATAAAAAAGAACTCGAATGTGATGGAATTCGCGATAAAACAAAATTTATTCCGGCTCATGAATTTAGTGATTTAGATTTATTGAATGGTAAGTACAAAACAAACCCTTCGGATTAATTAGGTATAGTTTACTATATTGATTGTAATAATGGTTTTTAGATTATCGCCTATTGGAAGAAATTAATAGATCAGTAGATAAACTTAATCGGGATCAACTTAAAAAATATACCCGATCCAAAAATTTACCCCCGGTATGACTTTTTACCATTAATATAGTTTATTTTAATTTTATAATGCGAATAATATAACATTTCTAGGGATTGTATAAATTGAAGCAAGCTGCTCTTATGAATAATGTTAAACTAGAATTTATGCCACATAATTTTAGTAGAAATAAGATAAATACTACTTTCTATAACTGGAAAACTAAAGAATTGTTTTGGAGAATAGAATGGATTTTTCAACAAGCTGAAAATACTCGATGGACCACAGAAAGGTTTATTTTTTGTAATAAATTCTTACAAATATTAATGTCAAATAATCATATAAATATACTTTACTTATATTAAAATGTTAATATATTAGAGTTCTAGACTCAAGAAGACTGTCAGAATTATTAGATAATATTCTAGACCCACAAGATTTCAAAGCAATAGAAAATCATGATATTGAAGATAATCAAAATAAAAGATATTTTCAAGACAAAATTATTTATTATCGGTCTGCTGGCTCATCAGGAATAAAAATTCTTTTAAAAGCTGAAAAAGTGAAAAATGCAGAATTAAAGTTTTATGAACTAGACTTATCACTAAGTATACGGGAGAATTTAGCCAACAAAACAATAATAGAATTTCCAACATTTTATGTTATTCTTAAAGATCATTCAGATGCTTATAATATTATTCAAACAGGTAAGTTACATGATTATATGTTGTATTATACATTTACTAAAACATCATTAATATTACTTTTGAAAGAAGATGAAGAAGAAGATGAAGAAATATCGAAAAACTCTAATAGATATAAAAGAAAACAAAATAATCAACCGTGCTCAAAGAAGAAAAAAGTAAAAAATCCCGTAAACTATTTTTTTAACGAAAATACATCAGAAGAGGAAGAAGAAACAGAGGATGATAAATTTACAAAAATTAATATACCTGAATATGACAAATTAATAAAAATTGAATATTAACTTATAAAATTAATATATATATATATACTATATATTAATATATATATATATATATATATATATACTATAAATACTATAAGTACAATTAAAATTTACAACTAAATTTTTAAGACAATACAAAGCAATGTATAATACAAATTTTATATAATTTATTTATATTTATTTTCAATAAAAATTTAAAAAATCTTTTTATGATTGATAATCAATATAAATGTATTTCTCGTAAAATGTATTATTTTGTAAACACTTGTTATTTTTTCTATCCAAGTGAATTGAATGTCAATCATAATCCAATAATCATTTTTATTATCTATTTCCAACACCTCAAAATTTAAATATGTTTATTAACAAACACTTCATAATCAGATTAAAAATTTCTCATGCTCATTCCGATAATGATAATGATTTGGATTTGTTTGGTATCTACTTAACATACTTTTTCTGATCAACTAGAGAATGAAAAAGTATAGTATGAAGACAAGGAATGCAACAAGACCGGCGACAGCTTTCACATACATAGATTTGCTGTTTAATTGAGTTGCATTTTTCTTATATTTTTGTGACAGCATTGAAAGATTTTGAGTTTTAGTGTCCAATTCTACAAAGAATGGAATAAAAATAATTAACTTTACTTAAAAATCAATGAGTAAACAAATTGTTATTCTTTTTGAAATTAATTGAATTGAAAAAAAGGTCAATCATCAATAACGAAAGAATTTCATTGCTTGTGTACCTGATAAAATAGTTCCTCTTTGTAAAACATCATCAATATTCTGAACCATAATTCTTTGAACATCTTGAAGTTGGCTATTGAGAGTATTCATATTTCTTCTTGATCTACCATCTGAATATGATTTTTTCGCTTTTTGAATATAGGTATCAAATTCTATAAATGAATAAGGTCTTGTAACAGTATTAACACGCCTTCCGTATTGCACATGAAATTCTTGTGCAATATCTTCCAAATAACTGTAAGCTAATCGTTTACTCCAATTTCTTTCACATAGTACTAAGTAACAAACCTCATTTTCGATCAAATAGCTGTAGCAAAAATACAAAATGCATTATTAGCCAACTTTTTTATTGATTAATGTAATTATATTGTACTTACTGAAATAAATATGGGCCAGTTTCAATAGTACATCTTGTTGGAGATTGTGATCCAAGTTTTTTGAATAACATTTTTGCTTGATTTTGATATTCCAAAATACTTTTGCCACTCTGGAAAAATGAATTACATATTACTTAAAGAAAAATTTAATTCATTGAGTAATAATCATCACTAATTTGTAAATCAAAGTGCCAATGACAGACAAAATGACGTTTGTTTGTGAAAAATAACCTGTTCATCTTCTTGCATTGTCGCAGCAAGTGGCAAACCATCTGCTATCCTAGCAATCATTGTAAATAATACCATATTTGTTAATATTTATTCCCTTGTTTGTTAAAAACTTAAGGACATTGAAAGACGTATTATTTTCTTATTTTACACTTTATTTTAAAACTTCATTTATACTTGGAATGAGAACTCAACAACTGTAATTAATTCGCGCGATCACCACTCGCTGCCAACCACGTCAGTCGATTCAAGTCCACCGTTTATCCAACCTTCCAACTCATCATACATATACAATGTGTGATTTTCTATAAGACGGTATAGGGAAATTACATGTATAACCTTTAAAAAATTAAACAGCATTTATGTCCGGTACTGTACACATTTTTCTCATGCGCTTTGAGAACTTCCCACACCATAACAAATTACAATTTAAAATATATATTCAACAATAAAGATAAATGTTCTATCAGATTGATCTAGCATGTACTTTTATAAACATCGCTTTCATTGTATTTTTATTCAAAAAAAAAACATAAATTTATGAAATTGTACAGCTTTTCGATAAATATAAGTATAATTTTTTCTTCAATTTAAACTTGGCGCTAATATTATACAGTTGATTGACTGTTGGTAATTTAAATACCTCAAAAATGTACGAAACTTCCATCTGGTATCGAAAAGTGGTATAACGAAATGTCCGCGTGGACGGTCTTATTTATCTATCTCTCTCAGGCTTACAATTTTAGCCAAATGAAATGTAGTGAAAGGAAAATTGTGACGTGCACATAGCCCACATCTCGCTCCACCCCTCCTCTAAATATGTCCTCTTTCATATAAACGTTTTTTAAATATTTATACGGGAGTGATTGGCCTAGAAATAAAAACACCCTTGATTCGTGTTTTTGTGATTTGAAAATTAATTGAGTTTTATTAGATTTGCTTCTGGTACAATACAATAACGTGTTGGAAGACATAGTTATGTAGACACGGAGCACGATTACTAAGTAAGTAAAAAAGAAAAAATTCACAACTGAATAGTCAGAATGTTACTTGATGCTTTGTATAATAAACTTTTCCAGCTGGTTACATTTTTTTGTTTTATACTATGCACCAAGTTTCACTATTTATGAGTTTCCATATTTTTACTGCATATCAATATTTATTCTTATGCTTTCTCACTGTTTTTGTTATATAATTTTAATAAACATGATTTTTTATACAGTTTTTTTTTCTGTGTTGGTCTTCATATATTAATAGTAGTTTTTATAACGAATTTCCTATTGACTTATAACAAATTAGTTTCGATTTTCCAGGTTACAATTAAATATTGAAAGTTAAAATACTTCTAAAGTGATATCATGAATGTGAGTATTTAATTGAATAAATTACATATTTAAAATCGATAAAAAAAGTTAATTGAGATATCAAAAAAATTGTTTTTTAGAATCCATATCGTGCCAGATCAGGTAAACTGCGAGCAGATCATACTGCTTCGGTTGGAGTGTCAAAATATGGTTTACAAAATCAAAACTCTTGGCCTGCTATGCCCCCCAATATGCAACCAATCAATCCATATCCATCTCAATCAGCCGTAAATCAAACAAATAATGCTGGCGATCCCTGGGATTGGGGTTCTGAAAATATTGACAATGGTAACGACGCTTGGAATTGGAGTATTGATCAGTCAGCTGAGACACAATCTCAACTACTTCAGCAACAACCACAACAACAACAATTGATTTCTACTTATCCGAATTTGAGGCCAAATCAACAGAATTCAACTCATGATAATTTTTATACTAATATTAATGGCAATAACCAAACTATTCCTCTAACTCCAAATCAATTATCAGGTAGAAATACACCACGAACTGGTCCAAGTAAGGAATCAACTCCAAGCCAACCTGATTCATTCAATCAGTATTCGAATTATAATTTAAATCAACAACCACCAAGAACTGATTCTGTCAAAAGTTGTTCGATTACAAATGAAAATCAAAATCTTCAACACATAAATTGTTATTTCCCCCCAGTTTCATCGCCATTTGATTTAACTAATCAAACTGTTAGTACCCAAAAATTTTCTTTAAATAATAACAATTCAAATAGTGCCAACCAGTCAAATATTCCAGCACAAAATTGGCAAATTCCAACACCGAATACTTCGACTTATTGGACAGATCCTAATTCTAAAAAGGAAAATGTTTCTATGATTGATACTCAATGGGCACAAGTACAACATCAACCATCCCAATTCTATAAACAGCAACAATTAAATCACCAGTCACCGCCTCAGTTAACTGAATTATTACAACACCAACTATTAAACCAACATCCACAACAGCAGCAATCATCAGTAAAACAGCCATCGCATCAGCAGCAATTAAAACGAATATCTCCTCCACCGCAGTTGCATCAACTACATATAAAATCATCACAGATTTCAAATGTACCACAAAACTGCCATGGAAATCTTGAAACTAATCAATTAAAAGAGCCAAGTCAAGAAATCGTTTTATCAAATAAACGATATGAAGGCAATCATGGAAATGAAATTGTTGATCAGCGAAGTCAACAAAATAATTATTCTCAGTTAGAGAATTCTAATATTAGTTCGAATCAATTACGGCAACATGCATCCCTTTATCCAACTCATACGTGGCAAGAAAAAAATTCTGAGTTAAACAATAAATTGAAAGACGTCAGTTTAGACAGTTTTTCTGAAGAAAATAAACATCTTCAAAAAGATTGGCAATCGATTGGATCTTCATCAATCAATTTGGCTTCTTCAACTGGGGAAATAGTAACTGCAGACAAAAAGTTAGAAGACTCACTACTTGAAGAGCAGATTTCGGTATTTTCTGAATCGGAAAATCACTCTGATAAATCTACACTCATACCTGAGATTAAAAGTAATCTTATGGAATTGCAGCGTTCAGAAAATAGATCAAGCGACATTGAACTTTTTAACGTTAAAGAAAATACTAATTCTAGCTGGAATGCAGAAAAAGATACGAATTCATTGAGTGATTTAACTACAGGCGTAAATCAATTGAATTTAGCTAGAAAACCTCACAACCTATTTGATGATTTAAAATCATCATTTCCACCACAATCGTCTTCTCAAATAATAGATCCGTGGCCTTCTCAATCTACTATATCTCATCCAATTATTCATAAACCTCAAGAAAAATTGACTGTTTCAAATCAATGTGTTGCTCAATCTACAATAAATTCACAAGAACATATAACAACCACACCATTTTCTGCTGCTCAAGAATCTAAAATTAATCTTTCACAAGAGCATACAAGTTTAACTCAGATTGGTGTTCAACCACATCTTCGTCAACAAGAATATTCTAATATTTATAATTGTCCTCTGGTACCATCTTCTCTTCATTCTCATGAGTTTTCTACTCACATTTCTAGTTCCATAGTACATCCGAATGTCCAACAGTCACATTCATCGCATTTTGAATCTATAGAAACTGTTTCCTTACAACCAAATCCCAAAACTTCAGCTGAAAATTTTCATGCATCTCTTGAATCAAAATCTAATGAAGAGTCTATGTCATCATCGAACTCCATAGAAATTTCTAACTCACAAGCAACTGAGGTTATTTCTTCAACGAGTTATGATACTTGGTACAATAAAACAACTACGCATACTGCTGATTTTATTAATGTTGATACATCATCATCCAATTCTCATGATCAGATTCCTGTTACTGAATCATCTATAGAAGATACTAAAGTTCCTACACCATCTAAAGAAATTTATGAACCACTGCAACAATCTCTCCAATCTGACATACATTCTGAAAATTATGAGTTCGCTTCTAATGATAGAAATACATTTCTTGAAACTGGAGAGTTAACAGACTCTCATCATGATCAAGAGTCTATTATATTTCAGGATGATGAAAATGATGAAGTTCCAAGCGATATTCCGTTCATACGAGAAGTGCCTGGACAATCTAGTTCAATAGATCCTCGAAGAAATCCGACTGGTCAAGAAGAATATTTACAATTACAATCTAATTCTCGTTTAGTAGATCCACGAAGAAACGACCTTTCTACTCAAATTCAAGGATTTAATATCAGAAAATTGCCTTTAGAACGTTCTGAACGTCGAGATGTTCCATCAGGTCAAGAAAGACAAGGCAGTGGACTATCTCCTCAAGATACTGAATCTTTAGAACGTAGAAATGATCCCTCTGGTAGAGAACAATCTCTTCCACCTTCACAATCAAGAAATGACCCTTCCGGGGAAGAAAGAGCTATTAATGATTCTCAAATTATTTTAGAACCAACAGAAATAAGAGAAATCCCTGGAAGTAGAGTTGATTCTACTGAACTAACTTCTACTGTTGATGAAATACGACAAATAACTGGTGGAATTTCAACACTTGAACCACTAACTGTTTCAGACAATAATGCAAGAGTAGTACCTGGATCTCAGGAAACATTAGTTTCTGCAAAACAAGATATATCAAATGAAACAAGAAATAAACGAGAAGAAGCTGTCGGTGCTCCAATAAGAGAAGATGTAACTTTAGTGTCAAGTTCTCCTAAACGTAGAGACTCTTATGAAGATGGAGATGACGAAGAATCTGGGAATAGTCGTGATGATAATCGAGATAGACGTAGGGATCAAAGCCCTACTGATAGACGTCGATTTGATTACGATAGAAAAGGAGATAGAAACTATTATGATCGTGATCGTAAATACGATGATGATTATTATTACGAACGACGACGGGGTCATGATTATGATCGATCATACACTTCAAGAGAGGATTTGGACCGACGTGAAACATCATTTAGAGATGGAGATAGAAGATTGCCTAATAGGGATGATTTAGATGATCGAAGAAGAATAAAAGATGATGATGAAAGGGATGGAAGAAGGAGAGAAGATCGAAGAGGACATTGGAATGATTCTAGATCTCGTGAACATAGAGATTATGATGCTAGATTTTCAAGAGATGTTCGAGACAGAGAACATTTAGATCGTGATCGTAGACGAGACGGCAGGCGACGTTGGTATGATGAATACGATCCTCGAGATCTTCGTCGTGATTATTTTGATGATCCTTACACCAAAGGTTCAAGACCTTCAAGCAGATCATCTTACAACGATCGAGATAGAGATTATTACATGAGAGTTAGAGATCCTTATTATGGATATAATCCAGATGTTTATGGTTCTTATGATTATGGGGCTAATTACTATGCGTATTTAGAGAATTTGCGGCGAACTAATCCTACTGCTTACATGGAATGGTATAATAAATATTACGCTGCTCAACAACAACATCCTGTAGTACGGGGAGTTTCGACTTATCCTGAAGATCGGGCTAGCGTTCATTCTGGACGAAGCTCCTGCGAAGACAGGTAAATAAATTTGTATTTATTATAGTCTCATTATATTTAAAAAACAATTGCTAAACACTTCCACGATAAATAATAGATTAGCAAGAACACCAACTATTGGTTTCCACATTTCAAACAAAGCTCTCTATGCGCCTTTTTTTGGATGTATAAATCGGGTTTGCAGTCCTGCACGAAGAAAACGTTCAAATCTTTGTCATAATTTGAATAGGTGAGACGGAGATACAGAATCTCCGGTTAAAATTAATTGTAGACTCAACAAGTACTTGCTAGATTTTGTTAGCAGCTGAACTGCGCATAGGAGTTTTAACGGATTTACAGTGTTCGAAAAAAAAAATTTTTTTGCTTCAAAAAGTGAACACAAAAAAATCATTCCAATTCATTTAATAAATTCAAAATTTTTATTGTTCATAGGACAACAAGTGGAAAACAAACAATAGGAGACATATCTCTTTTAGAAGACGCAAAAGCAGTCTCCCGATTAACTCCAACAAAATTTTCTACATCTCATGTTCAGGGTAATTGATGTTTTTTTTACGTGATGTTAAAGAAAAACAGTCAACTTTTTTTCAACAATCTTTCAACTGAAATAATAATTTTATTAATAATTTGTATTTGTTAGGATCTTTTTCAATTGGTTCATTAGTACACGTTCATCCCAGTTATCCTGCAGAAGGTGAACGAGCTAGAGTAGATATTGTGCGACTGGATAGTCTTCTTATGCATGATCCTATTGCAAGAGAATTGCGGGCGTATCCAGGACCATTAATCAAGTAAGTCAAAAAAGTTCATGTAATTGATGAAATAAAAATTATATAATTAATTAATTAAATTTTTTAGGGGTGTAACACATAAGAAAACGATTATTGAATATTGTGAAGCGAAAATTAAAAAAGCTTCAACAAACGATGACCTCATTGATCGTGCATCGTATATTCTATTGTATCAGTTAATGATCATGCTTATTCAACAGAATGGAGTAAGTTTGTTAAATTACTGTGAGTTATGGAGATTTATAGAAATCACGTGATCTCTTATTAAAACTACGTTATTATACCAGAAGATATAGTTTCAATAAAGAAGTCACGTGATCTCCATAAAAGGATTTATTTCAATTCTTAATAACTAAAAAACTGTGCGGTAAAATATTTTCAAAATTACGCCACTATTTTCAATCGTTCTAATGAATATTTTTTCACATTTTTATTGATAAACTTAGTTTCAATCATAGAAACTCTCAAATATCCTTAAATAGGACTAATGAGTTCAAATTGAATAAGTAACTTTCTGAATTCTTAACTTCAAGTGTTGACATTTGTTTGATAATTCTGGAGATTTTTAATGTGAAAATAGATTTGCTTTGTTGACATCATAATAACGAAAAAGATAATAGGAATTTTGTTATGATATACGCGTACTATTAATTTTGAGTATTATTTACATATTAAAAAGTTATCTTTAATATTTATGATATAATTTGTGCAAAAAAATGATGATTATTTTTTTTACAGAATGTTGTAGGAGTAGATATTGCTACTCTATTACTTCAAAATAAGGAAGCTTATCCTCATGAAGTCAATGGAAATAAAAATGAATCTATGAGACGTGAATCAACAATATCTCAAAGATCTGGGGGAAAAGAAGGTTCAGTTCATGAAGATGCTCCTCAGGAGATTGAAAATACAAAACAACAAAAAACAATTGAACAAATGACAAATGAATTTAGAAACACTTTAATTTATGGTTTAGTTCAAGAGGCGCTTGAATATGCAATGAATGAAGGTCTTTGGGGTCATGCATTATTCCTTGCTAGTAAATTAGATAAAAGAACGCATGCATCAGTTATGACACGATTCGCCAACAGTTTACCTGCTCAAGATCCTCTTCAAACTTTGTATCAACTTCATTCGGGTCGCGTACCGGCAAGTGTAACTTGTGTATCGGATCCCAAATGGGATGATTGGCGTCCACATTTAGCAATGATTATTTCTAACACCTCAGCAAATCCTGAAATTAATCGTCGAGCAATCACGACCCTTGGAGATACATTGGTTGCTCGGGGCGATATTTATGCAGCTCACTTCTGTTACATTCTTGCTCAAATTGAATTTGGAACTTATGGATCTTCAGGAGTTAAACTTGTCTTGATTGGTGCTAATCATCATAAGCTTTATAGAGATTTCGCAACTTTTGAAGCAATTATGTTAACAGAAATTTATGAATATGCTAGAAATCTTAGTGAATCAGAATTTACATTAGTAGGATTACAAATTTTCAAACTAGAAACTGCTCAACGAATGGTAGATTATGGACTGATTGAGAAAGCACTATTGTATCTTGAACAAATTGCTGTAAATATTGTAAAGGAACCACCAAAGTACAAACAGTCGTTTGTTAATGATGTCTATACCTTGAGTGAACGAATTAAATTTCACGATCCTGTTTTCAAAGATTGTATAGAGGATGAAACAACTTTAGCTTGGTTGTACAATTTAAAAGAGATTGTTCACCGATGTCAAGCAGGTGATATTATTCAAAATGTTAATAATACATGCGTAAATTCACAAAATAATTTACCAGACACATCTCAACGTGAAATTCAGCCACCATCGCAAATTCAACAGCAACAACAACCACAGCAACAGCAATGGAATTATACAGCAACCCAAGACTATGGGAATGCACCAAGTTCTATGATGGAAATTCCAACAATAGATCCATCTCAGGATCAATGGCAACCAATGTCACTTCAAACGACAATCCAAGATACATACAGTAATGATCAAAATACTCAATATACACAGAATATTAATGTTAATCAATATCATCAACAACAACCACAAGATTATTGGGGTCAACAAGTGTATAATCAACAAGATTATGCTAAAGATTATTCTACTAGTGATTGGCAACAACAACAATCAAATCAAGTTTATCCTCAAGAACAAAATGATGTCGACTCTGCTCAACAATCAGGAGGATGGAACTACGAGGTAAGCTATTGTTAAATTTTTATAGATTAGATGTTGTTTTGGGCATAAACAGTAAAATAAATTTTACAAAATTTTGAAATTTCATCTTAAAACTGAATTTAAAAACTAATAAAAATTATATTTGGTTTCAAACAACAAATAATTAAAAAATGCATAAAATACCAAAATATAAAGTTATTTAAAACATGCTCAAAAAATTCGAAAATACTTTCAAAAATACAAATTTTATTTTAATTAGAACTTCGATATGTAAACAAACATCAAATCAGTATTAAAATTAATTTGGCTTTTTGAAAACTTTATGCTATTTGCAACTTTGAATAATCGCAAAATAATTTATTAACATAACAACAATTTTTTCAAATTTTCTTATTCATGCTTGCATCAGTCGGAAAAGGAAGAAAAGCTAGTAACACCTGAAGTAAGTACTGTATACACTGCAACGATTTCTAATCACAATAATAAATGTTCAGCGGAAGTATCTACTATAAATACCGTACGACGTCGTAAAACTAGAGTGAAAAATATGTTAAATGATAATGAATTTCGATCAAGCACTGAAGATGATTCTCAACCTAACTATTTACCATTTTTCTCAGTTAATTCGTTTGCTGTAACAAAAATTGAAAAACCAAAAAAGCTCATGAAGTATCCTAAGGTGACCACACCATTTCCAAAACTCAATGATCTAAAATCTACACCTAAATCGAAAAAAATAGATCTACGATACACTAAACCTCCGTTATCACAGCCTCCAATATTTCTCAAATGTAAACCGAAACTAAAACCAGCATGCAGTGAAGAAACTGATGAAGAAACCAAAGAAGATGATGAAGATAATGAAATAGAAAAAAGTCCAAATATTTATACAAAACCGCCTACTGATTTAGATATTCAATTCAGTCGTATGAAATTTGAATCTTTAACAGCATCTAGTTCTTCATCATTTGAGATAGATAAAGGTTCTATGTTATACAACACAAAATGTCAATCTCTTCAACAGTACTGTAATTTTGAAGAAAGAAAAATTGTAAGAGTTGCACCACATATAAGACGAAAAGATTTAATTTGTGACACTGTAGATGCTTGGTCAACAGATGAACAAGAACATTCTGAAGCTTTTAAGTATAAACCAATTATTTTTGGTGGTACATTCAATATAGATGCTCCTTGTGAAGATGTTAGTAAATTTTTAGTAAATGATAGAATTCCTATGCTTCCGGGTAAACATATTTCTAAAACATTTGATATAGATGCTCCAGTAAACTGAAGTCATATATCTATAAAAAGAAGAAGATATTATCTGCTTTATTACAGTTAATTATAAAAAAATATTATGGATAGACTGAAAATGTAATGTTGATGTTTGAGTGTAAACTTTAGTTAAACTTTTATTACTATAAACTGAGTTGAAAGTATGTTATTTTGAAATAGATGTGTCGTTGAATTGTGGTAATTAAATATTTTAATTATTATAATTCTGTAATAAAGATTTATTTCTTATCTAGTTATGGTGTAAAACAAAATATTCAAATAAAGTCATTAATGTTATAATCAGCTTTTTCACTTACAGAAATAAGAAACAAATTACTTATGATAGAGAATAAAATAAATCGGTGTGCAAGGTTTGTCATTGTTTGCTGTTACGATGCTCAACGTTACTCGAATAAATTAAAATATCATCTTTTGTCTTTCTTTCTTTCTTTATTTAATAACGTTAATAAGGCCTTAACAGTATGCATAGACAAACTTTGCTAAGGCCAATTTACGATTATGATTTGTATTTTTCATTTCAGCCAAAGCCACAAATTTCTATGGGATCATCTACGGGCAAACAGTACGACCCTTTAGAAGAATTAGATGCTTTGGAGTCACCGTCTGAAGTATCTAAATCTACTATTGAAACAAAAAAACCTCAAGACAAACAACCAGAAAAGAAAGCGTCGAATTCAGGAGGATCATGGTTTGGCGGACTTTTTAGCAAATTAACACCAAAACCGAGGAATCAGATGATTTTGCCAGATGATGATAATCCTACAGTAAGTTTATTATCTATAAACAATTAAGTGACATCTTGGTGTGTAGAAAGGTCACGTAGATGGTTTTATGTTTTATGTCACTTAAGGCTTCACGAGGATTCTCGTGGTAAAATTATCATGACCAACTATTTCTTAAATCCAGGATATATTATTATAAAGGCCAGTATATTAGGATTTTACTTATGTTTTAATCCTACTAATCATTCGTTTCAATCCTGAATTACTGATGTTTTATTCAATATTTTTTGATTAATTTTTTCAAAAACAATTCTGAACAGCAATTAATTGCACTATTCAAAGTGAAAGAGTTATTTAAGAAAGTAAAAAAAAAGGTTTACAATTAATACTGCAAATATCTTGGTTAACAATGTTGCTTAAATTGGAATTTAATGATAAAAACAATATTATTATTTATTATCACAGATTATTTGGGATCCGATAGCAAAAAAATGGGTAAATAAAGATGATGATGGAGATAGTGCATCATTACGTTTAGCACCACCACCAAAAATGTCAGAGCTTAATTTGAAAACTTCGATAACAACTGAACAAAATCTGTCAACACAAGAATCGACAGTACGACCTCCCAGTACAGATTCAAAAACTCCTAATTCTTCAAAAATGATTGCCGGTAGCAGCAATATGTTTAAATTACAAAAAGGAAGAAATATGAGAGCTAATTACATTGATGTCATGAATCCTGGTGGAGTAAAAAGTAATGGACCTCCGTCAGCTATTCCGACACCTGCAGCGTCGCCATTAATGCAACCCATGGCTGCATCTTCACCACAATTATTTGTTCCTGCACCAGGTACCATTTTTAAGATTTAATTATTTTTTATATTTTTCAATCTTGTCTCATAATTTACTGTTGAGTTAATATTTTTAATGAAAAATATTAATATTAATAACATTATCATTTAAAAAATATTTATTAAGAATGAAAAAATTGAATGTCATTGAAATTTATTCATGGATCAATTTCATAAGTTCAATATAACTATAGGACTTTATATATAAAAGAGTTTTTCTTTGTTCAAGCCAAAATAATTAGAAACGAATTTCATTTTTTAACAAAAAATTTTGTAAACCTAATTTTTAAAAAGTCGTTAAGTTGATAAAGTATTTTTTTTTAGTAAACGATCCTAATGCTCCAGTAGATTTTTTAACTACTTTACAAACAACAAGACCTTCAGGTGATACGACGACGTCTCAAGGAGTGAGTAAAAATTTTACTTATTAGCATATTAATACACTAATACATGACGAAAACAATCATATAATAATAGAACATTTTATTTTAAGGAAAATACATAAAATTACTTGAATATATTTATATATGTTCCAAGCTACTTGGCTGTAATGCGCTGTATAGAGTTTATTTCCTATCAACTTGATATATTTCCTTTATTTATTCTCTACTGAATGATTGTTTACGTCTAATTAGATTATTTTTTATTCATTTATTTACTTTATTTTTGTATTTATTATTTTTTGATAGTGAATATTATCATGATCTATAATTTTTTGTCTTGTTCACTTCAATTAAAATCCTTCAGGTAATTTATCAAGTACCAATGTCTACTGTTTTATGAAGAGTATTTGCACTGATATTATTAATACTTTTTTAAATTTCTGCTCATTAATTTTATATTATTTGATATAATTGTTTTAATTATATTTATCTTCCTTCAATGAAATAAATTTTCTTTGTTATTACTCTACAAGCAGTCGGGGAACCAGAATGATGTAGCCAAATAACAATTATTATCAATAGTAAGAATTTTTTGATCAATTTTGGTATATGTTGCACATGAATGCTGATTTTATATTGTGAATAGTTTTTTTTTACTTAATTTCAAATTTCCTATCAACTATTACTTTCACAAATGTTCTATTCATCTTGCATGGTGTTATTTCACGCTTTTTTTCCTACACGCTAGCTAACACACATTTTATTAATAAATGTCTCTTAATATACATACAAGTCGAATATAAATTATAAGGACAGAAATGAAATAGTTTTTGCGAGTAAAATGCACAGTAAAATCTAATATGAGTTTGAAAAACGTGCTATCAGTCTTTGAGACGGCATTATTATTTTGTATATGGGTACAGCTCTCTCGGTGGAGCTCAGCTAGTTCACTATCACGCGAGGTACAGAGCTACACCATGAGGGATCCGCGTCTTCATCAACGGATCAAGGTAATCTAAAGTATTTTTTCTAAATCTTTTCCAGAGAGTTAACAATAATTAATCGATAAAAGTCAAATATGTAAATAATTTTTCATAAATATTAATGTATTTATAAATAGTATTTACTAAAATTACATCATTAAATAAATGATCAATAAATGCTTAATTATAAACTTTACTCTTCATAAGCAACAAATTAATAAAAATAGTGTTCTAAAGTCCGTTTCAGAGTATCAGTTAAAATGACATGGTAATTAATTTTTACACTTTAATGTCGGGAAACTTGGTTCTTTTCTTGCTTTTAATCATTTTCTAAGCTTTGTTCTTATTCTTATCATTTCATATTTATTTTCACTTTGATGATGATGATGATGACGATGATGATGATTATTATTATTATTATTATTATTATTATTAATATTAGATTACTTGTTTATTTTATTAATTTCATAATTTATTATTTGTCTAGGGACCAATGATGTACAATCCAGCAGAAGTGAAAGAAAATCCCATGAAAAACGTAACAAAAAGCAGATATCCACCGCGATAAAATAATAAATAAAGGAAAAATGTATACAACTATGAAAGATTTTTAAAGTATCAGTATGAAATAGATAAAATTTGAATGATAATAATAATTTTTAATAAGTAAGAAGAATCAATTAAAAAATTTTTAAGAATTCCAATGAAATTCATCTTACCTTTGTTTTGAATCAATTTTTTGCCAACAATAATTGCAAAGCTTCAATAGCAGTTTTTTTACAACGTTATTATAAATAATCCAATTTTCTATTTACAAGAATCATCGGTAAAATTATAAATGCATACATCTAAATAAAATTTGGATATTAATCTTCAGTACATGATATAATTAGTATAGAAAACAGATGATTTATAAATTAGTGAGAATTATCGTAATTTATTGTTATAAATTGGAGTCAAAACTTAAATACATTATACGAATATCTTTAAAAAAGAATTACTCTCATCGAACTTAGTAAAATATTAGATAAAAAGTTGGCTATTCATTGAAGTAGGCGAAAGTATTAAAATTTTTTTGTAAAAATACAGATAGAGAATTTGAGAAATTAAAAATATTTCTGTAAACGTAAAAAATAAAAAAAAAAGTTGAATAATTTTGTCAGGAAAAACTTTTTAAAAATTTTCGAAAATAAGAGATAGATAAGTGTTTTGTGAATAAATTTTTATTTGTTTACAATAGTTGAATTTACATTCCATCATTGTGCTTATTACGGATAGTTGTGTAAATAAACATTTGTATGGTTTGCATTTTTTTCATTAACAACTGACTTTCTTTAATTCGACATTAAATTATTTGTACATATCTTGAGTTTAGTATTTAAATTATATTTTGTAATATTATTCGACTATGTTTCACTGTGTTGTTTTTTTGGACAATATTTTTTCACTTGTTTTAACATTTATCTATCTCTTGAACAAGAAATATTCATAACAGGATAAATATAATCATCATAATAATATTGTGCAATGACAAAAGATAATATTAAGAATTGAAATAGAGTATTAACCGAGCTACATGTTGTATTCTTAGAGTAATTTATGTAAACAACGTGTTATGGCTTATGAAAGATGTAAAATAATCTATGTCCTATTTCATGATTAAGCGTTAATTGACGTTATTATGGGAATATCAAATTGAAGAATGATGATACTATCTATTGTATATTATTATAGTTACAACTATTATCACATATAATAAAATGTATTACAATAAATAATTTATCATGGCTATTAGGTTTTATTTATTTTATGAAGAAAAATTTGTTTTATTGTTGCTGTATAGATGAATATTTTTACCTAAATATAATAAACTCAATAAATTGACTATGACCAAAAAATCAATATAAATTGCAAAGTTTGCCAATCTGTGATAACTTCAATACCCACAAATTTATTTTTATCAGTAGGAAATTTTTGAAAATCTTTATTGTCACGGTGTTACAAAATATTGATTTATAAATTTAAGGTTAGAAATGAAATTCTAGTTTTCCAATATAAAAAAGAACTAAAGTTTCTTCTATTCCATAATATATTAATGCGTAAAATAAAATAAATAAATTATAAAACAAGACATTTCACGTAAATATCAGAAATACATTAAAATGCATTAATATTCAAACTATATAACAAATAATATATAATATTGATGTTTTTGTTTCAAATTTGACAATATTTAAGTCATCCACAGAGTATAAAATTGATAACTTAAAGGTTATGATATTAAAAAAAAAAACAAAACAATAAAAGATTTCACACAATTGAAATTTTTATAATTAAAAAATAATAATGGAACGAGGTGCTTTATTAGTTCTTGAAGGATGTGACAGAGTTGGAAAATCTACTCAAACAAAACGACTTGTGCAGGCTTTGAAAGATCGTGACCTTAAAGTTGAAGCACGTGGTTTTCCAGGTCGGTGATTTTTATCGTTTAAAACAATAAAGTTCATAAAATATGGATATTATTTGTTCTTAATTTTTTATTTTTGTTATGTTAATATGCATATCTTTTTTAGATAGAACAACAACCATTGGATCTGTAATTGATGAGTATTTAAAATATAAAAAAGATTTACCACGTGAAACTATACATTTACTTTTTGCTGCAAACAGATGGGAACAGAAAGATGATATAATTAAAACTTTAAACTCTGGCATTACATTAGTTGTTGATAGGTACACTGAATAAAAAAACTTCTTAGTACTTCACATCAACATGATAAAAATAAAATACTTCAAATTTTAGATATGCAGCATCTGGAGCTGCTTATTCAGCTGCATCAACGAATAAGCATCTTGTATGGGGTAAATCATTAGATCAAGGTCTTCCAGCACCAGATTTAGTTGCTTTTCTCTCAGTAAATAATGAAATATTGAGTGCACGCGATGGGTGGGCTAAAGAGCGATTTGAAAATCAAGATTTTCAAAAAAAGGTTGCAGAAAATTTTTTGCAATTAAAAGAAGATACATGGAAAATTATAGAAGGAAACCAAAGTATAGATGATGTGCATAAAATATTATTAGAAGAATCCTTGAAAGTTATCCAAAAAGTTAAAACAATTCCAATTAAAAAGTTATATGAGAATGAATCAAATTGATATGTTTTCATTTGAGTGTAAAGATATGTTTATTTTTCTTCTGTGATTAACAGTTAGTTGATGATATAATTCAATAAATCATTGTATTATTTTAATCACCACCATCGTTAAACTTTGAACGGAATTTTTTATTTTTTAAACAAAGCTAAACAATTGTACTAAAAGTATTTCGGATTACATATAACACTAAATAAATGAAAATATTATTTGTACTAATCTATCATTTTTAGATTCAACTAAAAATGACCGTAAATGATTTTTCCTTATAAAAATATTTTCAAATTCGTTTAATAAGATTTTGGTGATCCTGGATTTTGACTAAATGAAAATATACATTTTTTCTCTATGTCTTGAGCTTCAAAAGATATATTATTTGCATTAATAGCTAAATTTTCTTCAGATTGATTTAACATATTAGGACCAAAAACACGATGATTTTCATACTGTTTAGCCCAATTTGATTCCATTTTAATTTTCTTTTCATCAGGTTCATCATTATCATGAGTTACATCCAAACTATTATCCCCTTTTTTTCTTTTGAACGACATATATTGTTCTTGACGATTTTCATTTTTTTGATTCCTTTTTTCTAAAATCAGGCTATCAGGGCTTTTCCTGTCTTCTTTTAAATTCATTTTATCATAAAAATTAACCTCTTTAAATCTTTCGTGAAGCTGTTGAAGAATGTATGATTCTTCTAAACCTTCCTTACTAGTACTTGGTATTGGAGAATTGTTCAATAAACTTCTTATGTTGTTTCTTGGTGAATCACCATGCAAATGACAAGGACTTTTTTCTAAATTAACCACTTTTGATTCCAAGCATTTTGTTACTTCTTCAAAACAACCATCATTAATGAAATCACTATGCGTTTGTATAACTGATGCTCTTTTAGATGACAAATAAATTCGATTGATTTCTTTTTCATAATCTTTTATAGGGGTTGAAGTACTTCGTATAGGTGAGCTTTGTGTTTTACACAAAGTGTCCATTATTCTTACTGGAATATCTTGCATTCTTTTTCCCGTGTTTAATAATTTTTCTGGGTGTAAACCTTTAATTGAATGAAGAATTGAAAAACATTGATCATTATTATTATCATTGAGCTCCTGAAATCTTAAAGAACTTATATCTTTTGCATTTTTACAACTTTGTTCTTGTAAATCATCAGACATGTATAATGAGTCATCACTAGGCCTTTTCAAACTTTCGTCTAAATCACCTGTTGATATTTCAGATTGCTCTTCATCATTGTTTTTACTGCTATAACTAAGTGAACTTTTAAAAGTGTCATTTTCTTTAATTGAAGACAGAAATTCTAAATTATTTAATCCAGTATCTGTGATATCTATTAAACCATCATCGAAAGTAACAAATTTTTCAAAAGGCACTCCAGTCATCAGGTTATTCCAAGATTCACATTCAATATTTAGAAATGAATCATCTTCTCGAAATTTCGTACGTTGGAAATTTGTTACTATGAGCTCTCTGGAGACTTCCTTCCAGCTTTCAATTAAAGTATCGATTATTTCTTCTGGATCCCCTAGAGCTTTTGAAGGAGCTTTACAGAGAAGTTCGACGTATTCTTTCCGATACGACATCTTAATATAGTGAAATACGTCAGTTCGAAATGGCTTAAGTTTTGCTGGATATTCATTTGGAATAAACAAAGGCATAATATGAGTCAATTCTAAATTGTTCAAAGCATTCACTCTTTTTCTACTCATCATAAGTACTATGTTACGATTAATTAATGCCATGTCACGATTTAAAGTTAATAGCCAGCTACCAAATAATTCATCACTTATTTTAGAATTTTCTGTTTGATAGTAAAGACGATCTTGACGTTCCTCTAAATTGTATGGACCACAGATTAATGGACGTAATTTTTGTGTTCCAGAAACATTACAAGCTAGTAAAAGAGATACTCGATTCATCGCAGGTGAAATAAATGATGTTTGATCCTTATGATCATCATTAACAATCTTGAGATTATCTTTTGGTTTTCGAGTTACTGAAGGTAAAAAGTCAGTATACATCATTAATTCATCTACATGAAATTGATTTTCATAATTATATTCCATGAAAAGAGGTCGTATTAAATCAATCCATACACGGTAATCTTCAAAAACGGGTCCACTGCAATCGTTTAAATTGGTAGAAAACCCATATCGTTTTAGGAATACTGTTATCCATGCTTCAGAACATTTGAAACCTTGAAAATAATTCGTAAAAATATTTCTATTAAATTTAATTTTAATTAAATATAAGTTTAATCGTAAGACTTTTTTTCTTTCTCTTATATCAAAATAATCATAATAATAACATTAATTCAATAACGTACCTTTCAATCCAAAAAAATCTACTAATTCAAGTGCTTTAGTACGAAGTGAATTTCTGTTTAAAGGTGAATTTGTTGCATGACTCATACAAATCCATTTAAGTAATTCTTCTTTCATTGCTTTAGAAGCATTTGCCTGAGATCTTTTTTCCGACATTTTCGTTTTATTATACTTACAGAAACTTAACGACTAAACGTGATTGAAGCTAGTTGTAACGCCTATTGAAAGCCATCGCTGCACGTTCGCTTGTTGCTACAAAAAAAAGAACGTCAACAAAACTACTAAATATATAATATAATAGACTCTGTGGATAACATGACGACGTATCTTTCCGAATATGGAAGTTATAAATTATAACAAATTATTACTATACATAAAATTATAAAAGTAATTTGTTACATAGATAAATATTTATAAAAAATCACAATTGTTTTTTATTTGCTAAAATTTTTTTTATTAAATAAAACGTTAACAAAGTGAATTCAATATCATAAAATTTATACAACGTATACAATCAGCCGTTTTGCTATATGAAAGTATTTAAATAAAAATGACATCCAATCTATCATATATGTATATAAAAATATTATATTTTGAAATAATAATATAGTATTATGAATTCCTTCAAATATTACTAAAGATAAAATGAAAGCAATAAGTATACTGATAAAATCAACGTCTTCATTACGTCTGAGTTGATCTACTAAGCTCGAGTTACCATTTTTTCTTTTTCTTATCTCCTAAAGCTTTGTAATTACAAATCGTAATTAAAAATTCAACCATCAAGGTGTATCTATAGAGATTCATGACGAAGAGCATTTAATTAATTTAATTAATGGTAATGTATATGAGGTTATATTGCAATTTATATGCAACTATGTAATTGTTATTCATTTATTATAACGTTAAATTCTTATTACTGATGTATTACTTTTTTACATGTTATATTTTTCATAAGACATAAATCCTTTTTATTTGTCAGGAATAACTAAAGTCTGATGAAATAAATTTACAATTTACACATGATGAAATTGGTCGGTTGTCAGTGAGCAAGTTGAGTTAACTCACATCAATAAATCCCTTGGGTTTATGATATAACAATCAAGAAAAATGTGTAGAATAGAATATCGAATTTTTTTACTACCTTAAAACATTATGAAATAGTACATTTCACACCTAGGGAGGGAAAGTAGTCTAGCTCAAACCACGTGTAAAATTACAACCCGAGCCGAAGGCGAGGGTAGTAAACACGTGGGTTAAGCTAGTCTAATTGTCTTCTCTAGGGCTGAATATGATTTTTCGTCATACCTGCGTGAAAAGTTTAACCCTTCTCCAATGGAAAAGTGAACTTTCCGTGCGGGTATGACGAAAAAGGTATTTATGAAAATACATTAAAACGTTTCCAAGAATATAGAATAAAGACGAATGTAGTGTAAAAAGAGATTTTCTTCAACTAGTTTTTAATTTGTTGAATTTTATATCACTCTACTGCTTTTCAGATAATTAAACATAATGTATAATGGTTTTTCGATAAAAATTTTAATATATTTGTTGCATTTCATTTCCTATATACCGTTTAATTTTCCACAGATTTTTTTTTAACAAACAAAATTTTTTTGGAAGAAATACATCAGAAATATTTTCTTCTACATTTATAGGCCATTAATAAAATTAATATTTCATATTTTTATTCAAAAATTCAACAAAACAGCAAACATAAACTTTTTCAATATAGAAAACTAGAATACTGTTCATAATAATACTCAAATATGTTTATTTTTTTGCCATATAAGAAGTAAAAATATATTCAAAGCCAACGTTTCGTATTGTGTTGTATGACTGTTGAAATAATGAAATGCTAGATGAAAGCTACAGCCATATATAACTATATAGTTATATAAAAATGGTATTTCTTCAAGGACTTTCATCCATAAAATACAAAAGTGGTTTTCTCAAAATTTCATTTTCCATTAATGCTGTCAGAGCACGTCCATCCGGTCGTTCATCGTCTTTTCATGTTCATTTTTCTTGTCCGTAAGTGAGGATACGATATTGCTACTACCATAATGAAAAACTAGTACATGAATGTAAAATTAGAGTGCTAGAATGAAAGATATTTGCATACATTAAAGTACCTTTTGTTAAACACTACATATTTCTTCGTCTATATTTGCAAAAAGCCATTTGTTTAACTATGAACAAGTGCTTGTTAAAAACCATACCAATTTAAATTTATTATCACATCCAATCATTACAGTGTAAAAATAAAATTTTTGAGATTATTAAAATACGTGTAAGTAAACTTTTTTGTTAGCTTTCTAAATATTGTAAATGTCTTTTTTGAAAAAAAATTTTTTTTTGGCTGCGTGAACACGGATAGAAAGGAATTGTAAATTTTACTCCAAAAAATAGTAGTCTGTCGGTTCGGGTACAAAATTGGCAATAAGCAATTGTTTAATTAGTATACATTACAACTTTTTCTTGTAAAAATTTTATTACACATTCAAATTGTAATATTTTATATTTATTTTTGTATAATTTAAAATTTTGATTCATAATAAAATTTTTACAAGAAAAAGTTGTGTTGTATACTAATCAAACAATTGCTTATTGCCATTTTTGTACCCGAACCGACAGACTACTATTTTTTGGAGTAAAATTTACAATTCTTTTCCATCTGTGAACAATTGTAGTGTTTATTAACTTGCCAGTGGGAAGTTATAATAATGGGTCCGATTTTGCGAATCCCCGAATTTTGACATATCTCCACGTTTTAATTTTTTCCACTGGGAAGTTGGTCGTATGGACCTTTCGGGTCGCACCCAGACCACTGCAGAGCACTGATATTTATATACTGACATCTTCATATAGATTTAAACGGAATAAATTTTCGTCGTTTATATTAATTTATAAATAAAAGAATTTCTCTTCTCACATGTGGGTTATCTTCAACATTTTGTTCAATAATTCATCAACACGACCTAGAGTAATATTTAACGACACATGTGCGCGTGCTACCGCAAAAGGCACGCAAACCGTTGTGCTTGTTGCAATTTTATTTTGTCAAAACAGTAGTAAGAAAAAAGTGTTAACACAGAAAATTTCAACATTCTCCGATAATTATTCTGCCTCGAGGACGTAAGATTAAAATAAAATAATTTTATTTATAAGAAATTACGGAACGTAAAATAAATTTTGTGAACCGAATTTTAATAATTTACAGTTCAATTAAAAAAAAATATTTCATGTAATATTTCTCCAATTTGAGGCAACTAATAACTAAAGCGATTATTTGATATGATAAATTGAGTCAAAAGAAGTTTGTTCAATACTCTTTTTAGTTGACTAGTTCTTTTCTTTCACTTTAATAGAATTTGTTACATACGATGAAATTATATGAAATCCACTTTATATTTTGGGATGAATAGATTCATCAAAAAATCGATAAATAATTAGAAAAAAGTCATTGCAATTCTTACTTAATTGAATGTCAAACTTGTAACCATGATTATTTGTTTTTTACCACTTTATTTACTCTACATTTTTCGAATCGATAGAATATGTCCTTTGTACATGTTACATTTTAAAATAACAAATGATTCAACACAAATGATGTTCATACTTGGAAAAATTTCATCAATTATTCTTTCTAGATCCACGCCTCGAAGAGCACTGAAAAAAGTCATAACATGTTTTTATTGTTTATGTAATGAAAAGCTATAACTTTTATTGTTGTATAAAATCTACAAATATATACAACTCGACTAATGAAAAAAAATCTTGTTAAGAATAAAAAAAATTGATGTTCAATATAATTTAATCTTAATTAAATAAACATGGATTGAATCGTTCGTATAGGGTTTATAAATTATTCAATAAAATAAACAAAAGATATAGCAGTGTTATATCAATCGTCGAAGTTGACAATTCACTTTTTACCATCTGATATGAATTTATACCAGGTAAATACTCTTTATTTTTTCAAATCAATATGAAACGTCATCTGCATACATTTTATGTTAAGATAATAAATGATTCAGTCTAAGCGTAGTTCGCTTCAGGTGAAGCTTCATCACTTTACGAAGCAGTTTCAGGGTAATTCTGGACCGAAAATTATAAAAGTTCGAATTAATTGCTAGTTAATATTATTCGATGTTGGAAACAATATCCTTAGAACATGAATTTCATAAAAAAGAAACATACAGATCTTTCTTTTAATGATAAAAAAATGAGGTAATTTTTCAATTTTTTATTTACGCCTTTAATCATTACATTAAAACTATTAAAAAAAATTAAAAATGAATTGATTAAAAATTTACTAAAAATATGTAAAGATAACTAAACATTATTGAGGGTTTGTAATTTTGAAAAAATTGAAATTTTGTTCTTTAAAAATAAAAGTTATAAGATTTATTAAATGATTTGCCCAAAAAGTTTTTCACATTAAATTCTGTAAATTTAAAAACTTTTTTTATAAATTAATTTAAACCAAACTTTTATTTCATATTGACTCTTATGTCAAAAGAGATAAAATTATAATATATAACTTCTCTTTCAGATTTTTCCATGTTTATAATATCTATAAAAATTATGAAATATGGAAAATCATATATTCACATACTAACAAACCATTTCTCAACGAATTTAATCAAGTTGAATTTGTTAAATATATTTTAATTTGCATTTTTCAAAATGCGATTCAATATAAGCTTATAATATTACCGGCTTCACTTATCATTTTAACATTTCGGAATATTTTTTATTTTTTTATTTTCTTGTTTTTAAAAGTAAATATTGCTAACAATAAAGTTTTATATTTATAAACTTAGCTCTATAAAGAATGTAAGAAAATTTTTATTTTTAAAAATTGCATAAATTCAATTATTCGTTGTATTATCACAAATCTTAATTATCTAATATCTTGATTTCACTATGATTTTAGAATAAATAGTAGAAAAGGTCGTGGTCCAGAATCAATACTCTATAAATCTACTTGGCCATTGATTTGTGTTATACGTATATTAGGATTAGCTCCGTATGAGTTCAAAGGTGAAGAGTTGGTACCATCAAATAAATATATGATCTTCTCATTTCTATGGTTAATTGTATTTACATACACATTTTTTTGGGCGATAGTATCACAAATGGCGAACATGTATAGAGACGACATGCGTTTGCCCACAGCTATTACTGAATTGTGCAAGGTTTGATATTTATTTTATTTTTAAAATTTTTTCATTTCTATAAATTCTCAATACGAATAAATCATTTCAGTTTATTTTGAATTATGTAGTTGTTGTAATAGACATAATAATGGCATTATGTACAAGTAAAAAATTGACAAATATATGGAATAGAATTCAAAACTATGATGAAGTAATTCAAAATCTTGGATATGGTAGAAATGAGAAAAAAACTTTTGCATGGGTTTTGGCATTATTATTTTTCAATCTTTGTATTTGGACTCTAATAAGTGTCTTTGGAATGATTGGATTTTCTGAGCCATGGTTGAAAAATGTGACTTATATGCTTATTTACATTGGATCAGCAGCAACTGTAACTAAATTTGCAGGGATTACAATGCTATTAGCCCAACGATTTAGCCAACTAAATAGTATTGTTCAAACAACTGTTGTATTTGCACCACGATGGAAAACAATCGGTTCAACAATAAACTATCAACTTATTGGATACTTGCACGATGACCTTATGGTTATCACCGAGAATTTAAATTCAATATTTTTTTGGTCTGTTTTGCTGTGGTTGACGAATTTAAGTACTCATAGTATCAGTAGTTCTTTTTATGCATTATCTTGGTTATTAGATCAAGGAAGTTTTACTCCATCGGTTTATTTTTCACCAATCTACTGTCTCTCATCTTGGATCACATCTTTCGCTTTTCAAATATTTATGCTGTGCTATGCATGTCATCATGCTTCATATGAGGTGAGTAATTAATAATATTTTTTATTATTATAATGGCCCTTATAGAGTAAGCAGAAAGAGTTTCACCCTTTTTTAACATTATTCTTACACTCTAGTTTAAAATCATTAAGCCTAATAAATCATATAAACTTTATATACATAAATTTATCGATTGATCAAATTGTTTACATTAAAATAGCTATTGTCAAAGTATTGATTACACATATACACAGAATGGTTTTTTATATGATTTACATTCATATCACGAAAATTTAATACAATACAAATACAATAGATTTTTATTTACATATATATAACTCAGTAAATTTAAATATTCACATGTGTTCAACTATGAATATATCAGTACGTTTATCTCTTATGATAAATTTATCAAGTCAAATTTTTATATGGCTTATGATTAAATATAATATAAATATAAATGTATGTTCATGTGAGGCTTAGCTATTTTTGGAGATTAAACGAGGAAAAAATAGCCTAAAGAAACGCCATTTAATAAAATATCAGAAGGTCATGTACAATCTTTGCTCTGTATAACATAATTCAAAATATTTTTCTTTAATAACTAAAGCTATTATATGAATTTTTTTAGTCATCAAAAATGCCAGTTCACAATATGAAATATTATTTACTGGATTTACATAGAATTATACTTAAGCATACTTTTTAGTTTAATGCTTTATTAATCAACATCAGAGAAATCGAAGTCATTGACGTCATTCACATTTTTAGACGGTTCAGTATTCACGAGTTTCTATGTCTTCTTTTTTAATGACAGATTTTACCATTTGCTTATCTGATTTATTTTTTAATGCATATGAATTGATAGATATGACATTAAATGATTGAAAACATGAATAGCATAAAAGAATTGTGCAATGGTCGTTTAAAATTTTTTTAATATTTTTTTTTTTACTTGGAAAATTGTATATAATACTGATTGATCGAGCTCAAAATGGTTTTTTCAAAAATATTTCATTATGTAATTTTGTTCCAGGCAAACTCAATGAGCGCAATGATGTTAGAGAAAAGGAAGTGGTTTTATACGTATAATAGGAAAATGGTCAGTATTGACAGTGTAATGCAAGTAACTTTTTTAATTAACTTATTGATAAATTTCAGCATATAATATTTAATGATAACTTATTTACGATTTTTTAAGGACGTAGAGACATTGTTCCATCTAGCGAATCGTCCGCTTCAGTTTTCAGCTGCTGGATTTTTTTATGTTGATCTCCAATTATTTACCACAGTAAATGGCTTTTTTCCTATAATTAAAATTAAATTTAGTCAAATATTTTTTTATAAATAAATAAATAAATAAATATTCAATTAATATAATTACAAATTTATAGAGCTTTGAATTATACAATAAATAGAAAATATTATTAGAATAGCAAAAGAAAAAAAAAATGGAGAATTTAAGCACTGAAAGAGAAATGGTAAACGTTTAGCTTACATTTGAACAAAAATTGCAATATCTTGTTTTTAAATTTTTCGTTTGTAAACAATCATCTACTATAAATGATATTTTTTTTTTATTACTCTTCTAGATTATGTCTGTGATGACAACATATTTGTGTATTCTTCTTCAAATTGATTAAAGTATGGAATTTTATGTAGATAGCAGAAAACAACTATCCTCGAAGAGAACCTGTAGAAAATGAAATGAGACAGGTATAGCTCGTGTGAGCAGAAAAAACATTTAAATATGATTTATGACAAAGTTTTATATCTTCTATGCAGTCTTCTACTTTTTCAAATTAATTATAAAAAATTCTAATAAAATTTCAATATATGATCGTATATTAATAAGCATAAAATTAATAATTTTTTTATGGGTTTTAAGATTTTTATTTGGCTATTAAAGTAGATTTATAAATATAATAGTGGTATGTTTTGTAAAGCAGAATATACTGACATAAATAGTAACCAGAATATTAAACAAAGTATTAGAGTTTCCTTAGCCATGACAGTTGTGAGAACTGGCACCTGTAGAGGAAAATGAGATGAAATTATTGCCCCGTTAAATGAAAAAAAAAGAACTGTATACGGTACAAGGTTGAAAGGATGTAACAGGACATTGGCAACGTTCAATGGTGCGTCAATTTTCTACACCATCACCCTGGAAAATTGCCTCACTTCTCTCTTGTACTTATAGACTTAGTCACAATGTGTTAATACTTACTCTTTAAATCCATACGAATCATTCCTACTTGCTTTTAAAATCAGTGTGCTCAGAATAGTAATTTTTTGTCACGTTTATGTGTTTATTCGTCTTCTGATGTTAGTAAGATTGTTTTTTCTTTTTACTGCTGACTATTATATTGTATTGTTGAAAATAATTTACATTAAATTAAAGAACAAAAACTTTAAATATTAATATTAAGTTTTTATCTCTTTCAATAAATTACATAAAAAGCATCAGCGAGAAAATTTTCTGTTTTCTCCATAGAAAAAAAAAAATTATAAAACACAGAGAGCTTTAGCATGAAGATTAATTAGAAGTAATGGTTTCACAGTGAAAGACTTTATTGGTAATGAATCAAACGCCATATATGTAATAGACAACTCACAAATTTAGATACTTGAAGTAGTTTTATCTCGTAGGTATGGATTTGATGGACTCTTTGAAAAGGCCTCCCAAAATGAGTAAAAACAGAGTCAAGAAGATTGTAATTTCTTAATTTCATTATAATATCGAAAATATTCTTTCAATTGATTTTCTGAAATTAATTATCAATTTCGCTGATAAATTTTTATGAAAAAAATAATCACCCACTAAACTAAAAATAATATCGACTAATTAATCATACAAAACTTTTTTTTAACTTTAACTTAATTTTAACTTTTTTCTTGAGGCTTTGATATCTAAATAATATTACCATTTTTTCTGCTTTTTATTTCACTGATTTATAACGACTATTATAATACTCAGACTATAGCTAATAAAAAATTTTTAAAGTCTTAGTAAGAAATAACTTAACATTTGAAAGAAAAAAAAATATCAAAACGATTTAGGAAATCTATCCAGTATACGAAAGATAGATGATAAAGTGCTTGTATAAGTAATGAAATACAATTATATTAATGAAGTTTCATTGACTAAAGCTGCTGGTACCAATTAATTAGGTAGTATGTGATAAAAATCATTAAAAATTAATATAAATTAATAGCTCATGATTTTTGGAGAAGAAAATTGAATTTTGTTATCATTTATAATTGTTGAGGAAAATTTTTTAAGTAGTAAAATGAATCAGTAGACAAATTTTCAAGTATGAATATAAAATAATATTTAAAGAAAAATATTTTCAAAATGAAATAAGTAAATTGATAAAAAAGATTTGTTAAAACACTTTAACGGGTTTAAATTTATAAATAAACTTCAATATTTATACAATCTTTTAACCCTGAAAATTAAGAGACCATGTATTTAATAATTTCTATTTATTATTCATTTAAAACGTTACTACATCATAGAAAAAATAAAAAAAACTTGAGTAATAATAGGGATATTCTTAATTAATTATCTTTACAGTTATCAATAACAACTTATAGTATACTCTACGTTTTTACCGATTCTCTAGACGTTTACAAAATATTTAAAATATAAAAAAGGAAGTTAATAATCATTTGAATAAGTATTAAAAATCAATTATCTACAACAAAAAGTCGATAATAAATATTAAATTAAAGACATAAACACTCAACTAATTATTATATATATTAATATATAATTAAATTTAAAAAACACGATTAAAATCAGATCGGCGGTTCACGAAATAAGGAGATTGAAGTTGATAATTATCATCATCTGTCATTGATCGCAGCAACTCTTGACTGGGTGAAACCTTATTATTCCTTGGTTTGACTGTAGCAAATTGGTTTTCATCAGGGCATGCGTAAAAGTTTGATTTAACAACTAAAGCTGATTCCAAGTCAACACTTCTTCTTTTTAGAGATATAGCATCTTCCAAAATACATGATTTTCGTCGTACTGGAATTCGAAGTGGCGGTAAAACATAACTATCATCATTGTTGCTATGTTTATCTTTAGGGCCAATATCAGGACTCGATATAGACCAAGGGTTCCTTGGAACATCATGAATAATTTCTGACGATGGGTATTTCAAAGAAAGCATTTGTCTCATGTCAATTTGACGAAACTGTTCGCTGGACATTATTGAATCGGAGGGCTCCCTATTTATTGAAGATTCAGATACAAATGGGTGTTTCGGTAATGGAGTGATAAACGGATGTTTTGGTAAAGGAAGTAATAAGAGACTTTGATTTATCTCCTCACTTTCATATGAAACATTTTCTTCTTCGTTTTCATTCACTGTAGCTTCTTGGCATACAAATTTATCAGCTCTTGCTTGAGTAGGGAAAAGAGGACCCAATGAAAGGCGAACTTCTGATCTTGGAACTTCTTTTAACATAAGTTTTTTTGCTAAATCTTGTAGAGTAGGATAATCATCTTCTTCAAATTTGTCAGGCTTTTTACTTGTTGATGATTGTGATTGGAAAGTTGATACTTGAATATTTTTCTGTTGATTCGTAGGTTTCGTATTTTGGCAAACAGATGTGCCATTTTGACAAGTTTTAGAAGATCCAGGTGATGATCCAGAGGAGGTCTTTTCATCATCACCAGAATCTCGGTGTCTTCGGACTTTTTCATTTGTTGGATTTACCGAACAGTAAAATTGGCTACTTTTATTTGCATACTTTTTTCCCAATAATAATGACATAATTTTCTGAAAAGAATGGTTTCTTGGTAACCGTTGGTTTGTTATTGGAATCCAGTCTATTTTGGTTTCTTCAACTTCGATTGGTTTCTTCAAAAAGGCACCAACAATCTTTGGAGATTTTTCTCTTTTCTTCCTCAAATCTGATTTTCCACATGATGTGATGGAATTTTTTTCACTTGCTTTATCAACTTGATCATTTTTCCGTGAAAATGTGATCTTTCTTTCACTAGGCTGCTCTTCATCTATCTCAAACGTTAAATCGACGATTTCACTAGGATCTTCATCTTGGAAAAATGGAGATTGTTCTGATGCGTGTGGTAGTCTATCAACACTTCTGCATCGCGGTTTAATTATAAATGTTTTATTCATAGGTGTTTGTTTTATGAAAAATTCTTCATTAGCAACTACACAGCTTTTCTTTGATTTTGGTGTTGTTCGCTGAAAATTTTAAGCTTTATTTTAGAATACACATTTATTTTATTAAAATATGTATTATAAATTTAATTACTATAATTACTTTTTAAAATAAACTTAATGATTATGTATAAAATTTTTATAGATTAATAATAATTCAATTCTTATTTATTATTAATTATAATTTACTATAAATACATCAAAGATAATCATTATTTTGATTACTAGAGAAAATTGCAAGAAAAAAAAATTGAAAACATTATTATTTTAATTAATATAATTCATTTAGTACTCAGAAAATGATTCGATCAATCTTTTTGTTTTAAAACTTCTATTAATTATTTAACTTATTATTTAATGATAAATATATTATTCTAAAGATATATGATAAAATTATTGAATATTTACCCTACTATTTCTGCGTCCATTATTTTTACATTTGCGCTCGAAAGCAGCAACCATTCTTTTAACGAAATTGCCATTTCTAGCTGGAGATTCATTTGTTTTAGAAGACGATGAAGGTGTTTGTTCGATTTTATTAATTGCTTTTGGTAACCCATACATCATTTCAGTAATTGACGTCATTGGAGGATACCGTGCATTCTCTATCTCGAAATTTTGAGCCTTTGAAGTTGATGCAACAACTGAATCTATTGGTCTTGAACCAATTCGGTACTAAAAAAATCACAAAATTAAATAAGTTTATTAAATTAATTACTTTGTTATTATGAAAATTTTCAAGCCTTTTTCCCAATACATAATGACTTTATAACGCCTCCATCTTCATAATAATTAATTATCACTTATCTTAGAGCATAACTAAAATAATCAATAAAGTAATATATATTTTTTGTAAGTAAATTACAAAACACTTAAAAAATGAAATAATAAAAATAATTATTTAAGCATACTTTGAGACACAAAATACGTTCATTATCGTTTTAAAACAAATTAAAATATATATACAAAACAGAAGTTTAACAAATAATAATATTGATAACAGTAAAAATTAGAACACTCACTTCTTTACGTTTTCTCAAAAGTATATTCAATATATTACTCATTTTAGATGACGTAATTTTATTAATTAAACCATGAGAAATCCACAAAGTACTAAGTTTCCAGAAAATTAATTTCCACACAACCTCTGGTTCTCTAAGCGAACTTTGTAGTAACGTAGTACACTTTGATCTGACCAGATAGATTTTCCAAGTGGGATCCCAAATTCTTCGTCTTGAAAACTCTGTTAATTTTTGAGTAAGTTTATGTTGGAGGGGTTGTTTTTGACCAATTGTATCCTTCGTTAACACCCAAGTTGTAGAAAGATTGGTCAATTGTTATCCTCCTACATCTAATTGTCTTGTGCATTGGCAAAAATTTAAAAGTGGTACTCAGGTATAAAATGGGGAGGGGAGAGCACGTGTAACAAAAGAAGGTACCTAGGATGAGTAATAAGGTGTTGACGCGTCAGTTTGGCGAGGACACAGGTAGACCTAAATTGACCCTAATAAAGTCATTTCAAAGAATTCGAACGGCACCAAAATTATAACCCGATTGTTCTCACCTCATTTCGGTAAAGACAGTTGCGTTTAAGAATGGAAAAGCAAAGAATATAAACTTAAACTACAATTTATGTCAAACTTGAAGGAATACTATCATGATGGTAGAATAGTCGAAATATTGTTAATTAATATTAAATAAATAATAATTTGATACAATAATAAATTACATCATTTTTCTATTAACTAATTCCCCTTCAGCGTACTCTAGCATTTATAAGTGATTCATGTCAACGCCTGCATCTGACGGCAGTATATGCTCGTTTTAATATTATTATTGCTGAGTACCTCCGCCTTTCTAAAGACATGATATGTTGAAAATACTCTCTATTGCAAAATTTTCAGATAGAAAATTATGATGATTATAGTAATCTGATGGCTTGCATAAAAATAGCCAGACATATTTATCTGTAGTTTAGATGAAAAAATGAGAGTTTAAATTTTAAACAAGTTTAACTCTTTAGAACTTTCAAAATATCTGATGACATTATTTGCTTGGTGCATTTGTTAAGCTAAAACTACTTTGTAAAAATTACTAGAGTATGAGTTGTGAAAACTTTCAAGTTTGCGTTGTTAATTATTTATCATTAATGCATAATGTATTATCATATATGTTTGTTTACCATTTATAGTCCCTATATTGAATTAATGTTATTGTCGAGTGCTTTACTTTTGAGGGTACTTTTACACCTAGAAAAATTACTTTTATTCAACATTAACTCATTATCTTTTCTCCTACGTTCAAGGTTTCAGTTTGTTAGAATTATTTCATAGAATCTCTTCAATTATAAGAATGACAAATTTTTGAATTATTTATGAGATTTTAATTTGTAATGAACAATTAATATTAGCAATAATACTTGGCAAATGTTTCAAAATATCATATGGTATCAGTTAATTTTAGTTCCTAAAAATTTATTATAATACATGTGCAATATGAGTGTACATGTATGAAATTATTAAATATTTTACTTAAAAATAAATATTACTGTATTGATAATTTTCTTTTTGAATAATATATTAGCATAAAAACACATTTATAGATGAAATGTGAATAAATAAAAAATCATTTTAAATAGAAAATAATAGTTTACTGAAAGAATTTAATGTTATGTTTTATTTCAAATTAATCAGATTGCGTTTTAAAGTATTAATTACATTTAAATGTAATATAATTTTTTGTGTTTTGCAGCAATAAAAATGTGTCTTTTATCTAGCTAGTGTTCTCCAATCAATTTAATCAATCTAACAATTATTCTCCAACTTCAGTATATTATAAAACTGATGTTTACGTAAATTTAATTATTTTCAACGGTCTGATCATTTCTTTATTCTCTAAAACGAATATTTTTAATAAGTAGTTCGTTCGTTTATTGTAAGATACTTATACATTACCATGCCTAAAATAAATTTTAAAATATTTTTTTTTGTGGTTGTTTCTAGTTTAAATTATTGGGCTTGTATAATTTGTGAGAAAATAAATAGGTACAATAAAGGCATATTTTCTGCCTGTTCACTTAAACACGAAGGAAGGTCACTGTTTCAATTGCTGCTCATAAACCTACAGGCGACAATGAATATACTTTCATTTGGCAAACTTTACAAAAGGCAGCAAACTTAGCTTGTACAATAGGAATAGAAGACCTTTCATAGTTTCTGTAAGAATGAATGAGAAAGGCTTTAAGTTCTTATTGTAATCCCATACAAGTTTTTCTTTTTCAGCTTCCGAAAAGACAGAGGTTATCTGTCTTTGCTTTATGCAGATACTTTTCTCTTACATACAAAACATATTATATTCTTTTTTTTTTTACTGTTAATACGTGATTACAATAAATTATATCAAAGTGTATTAAATGAAAACTAGAAAGAGTATTATATGTAATGAATATTTTTGTGAAAAAGTACTTTTCTAAAACCAAATAAAATTTACTGAACAAAAATAGGTTCAAAAGCCTCAATTGAAGCTTAGACCTTGAATCACATGTTTTTCAGATTTTCATAAAAAAAATTTTTTGATATCTCAGCGAGATTTATTTGTCAAGTAGATAGTGTATATGAATATAAATTTTTAATACTACACAAATTGTAACGAATATTAATCAATATTTATCCTAAAATAAATATATTTTACTTCTCTATTATGAATATAGCTTATGAAAAAATCAAGAATTGATTGAAAATTATGGTAAATATAATACTAAAAATATACGCGCTAATATTTTCATATACATGAATAATTGGAATTAAAATTAAAACTCATACAATTTTCATCTTTTATAAAAAACTTTCATCTATTTTATTATTGAACACTAGATAAGTTATTTGTTGTAATTACTTCTACAAAATATGGGGTTATTGATTTGAGTAAATAACTGTTGAGTCAATACTCAGCATTCAATTTATTATACCCATCTACTTTTCACAGAAAATAAAATATACTATTATATAATATCACAAATTCATTACATTTAATTTAGATTTGTTATTACTATTATAATTCAACGGCGTGGGAAAATTGTTAGTAAATATCATGGTAAACTAGCACGAGTGTATGGATAGTACTGGATAATAGTTACATAGAATAGAGAAAATGGAAACTGAATGGTTGACAGTCATCATAAATTTAAATATTCAAGTTCTTTTGCACATTTATCGCACAGTAAAATTTTCTAACTACGGTTGAAACTAAATAGCAATTTGTATCCAATTTTGAAGTGTGTCACGTTAATTCTCAGCCAAATAAGTCGTAGGTTTGTGGAGTCGATTCTTGTTAACACAGGTAACAAATTCCTAGAGTTTTAGTTCAATTACCTAGTATTCTATCCCTATTGTAATAATTGTCCTCTTTATAGAAGCGATTGCAAATTACCTTAAATCCTTGAAGCAAACATCTATTATTTTATTGTTTTCAACGTATTTTCCCAAACAGTATTACCATCTTACATTAGTTATGCTAATGTAACAGGTAGTAGCAAAAATAAAATGAAAATTCATAAATGTTCGTGTTACAGTAAACGTACATTTGCTTTGGCCTCCACTGAATAAAAAAAAATCACCGAAAATAGTGAAATATTTGATCAAATATCCATAACTAATTATTGAATGAATTTAAAAAATAATTTGACCATTTAATTACCTTAAATTAAACAAATCCAATTAAAGATATTAGCATCATGATTAATTGACAACGTTTCAGTCATAAGTAGAATATTAGATGCACAAGCCAATTTATAGCTGCAATATAGAAGCCAATAATATGACCGGAACATCAGAAATGACGTCACTGGAAGCAAGTGACGCTGCCGTTAAAGAACGAAACTAGTCATTCCGACGCCACACCATCGATTTACTCCACCCTCAAGGACTTGAAATGACGTAACAATTTTCAATGCAATTTAAACTTATTCAGTTCATTTTCATGTAAAATGTTTGTTACAATTAAATTACTAGTTTCAATCAAAAATTTTATATTCAATTAACGTTTTTTTATCTACATACTTTTATTTTATTGATCACAAAATATTTTTTTATATCCTATTATTATTCATTTAATTTCTTTAAAACATGAAGAGAAAAAAATCATTTCTTATGAAAATTTTATTATAAGTCAAAATTGTAAATTCTACAACAAAAATGATAAATATTGCAATTTTTGTACATTATAAAATTTTTGATAAGTCTTAATTGAACATCATTCATTATTATTTTGTGACACTGAAAGACCGACTATTGTATATTAGAATAAAATTAATAAATTTTGTTTTCATCGTGTATTTATAAAATAAGTACATTAATTACTTTTTATTCGTATCTTAATCAAAAACGGTTATTAACATTTCAGAAATCATAAATATTCTATGAATTTTTATAATAGTTTTTTAAGGCTACAATGTCAGTTTTTGCACATATTTTTTGTTATCTCTATTTTTATTATTTTTGAGTTTTAAAATGTATAGTTTTTTTTCGAAATCTACAATATACATAATTTAATTCGTTAAAATTTGTTAGTAATTTTTAAATTTAAATTTATGTTATAAGAAAAAATTTTTTCAATATAAAGTAAAATTTTCTGACAAAGTATATTCTAACAGACAACTTTCTTATGACATTAATACTTGTGGTAGTCTTCAAGGATTTAACCTTTTATTTGAACAATATAGGCTTCTTGACCCTTTAAAAGTGTCATTGTTCCTTTGACTTTTACTACCTGGTTTCGATCTTTGGGAAAATTTAAAACTATTAGCTAGACCATTGGCTAATATTTAAATTTTCTAATCTTCCAGTCATTTTTCACTTAGTTAAAAACACTTTCAGGAATATTCATAGCAAAAAGTCATTTACAAATTTGCTTTTAATTTTTTTTAATTTCTCCTTAAAATTTAGCTGGCATAGTACGTGGATATTCTCAACTAAAATTGAAAATTCATCATTAGTATTCTCTATAACAAATAAAATTAAAGATTTCCTTTTAAGCCTTCCTTAATTTTAGAGAAATTTTCATCTGAAGACAGCATTTATAGCATTATGAGTTAATATTATTAAGAATTTAATTTTTGTCTTATGTAATTTTCAAATTTTTAGTTTTAATATAAGATGAAAAAAATATTTGAGTGACACATAAGTTAGTTAATAAATGATTTTAAAAAAAACTTAAATATAAGTAATGCAAATGTAGGATATTTATATGATTGAGCCATGTAGAGTACAACGACTAATGATTACAGAAAAAAATAAAAAATTTAATAAATAAAGTAATCATATTTATATATAAAACT